CCGAAAAGCCATCTATTGAAGTTGTTGGGTGCGATGACGTTGAAGATCTTAATGATGACGATCTCGTACTTGAAAATTTTGAGAATAATTTAGAACAAAATAAAAAGTTTAATAAGCCTTTAATTCAGGAGATCATCGACAAGTCTGATGACCCTGAAACTCAAAAGATACGGAAGCTAATAGAAGAGGGTACATAATGAGACAAAAATGGTTTAAACACAATGTGAGAAAGAAGCTTAATTAGTTTCATCTTTAATTAATTAGCGAATACATTTGATTGGGAATTACCGCAACAACTTCCAAATGAAAAGGTAGTGTTGTTATAGATTTCAGTATACGTTAATGCGTTTGTGTCTTGGCATGTAGAAATTTCGAATTTCAAATTTTGTCATTTCTCAGGACATTTTCCCAGTGACAGCCAGTTATGGTTTTAACGGACTCTACTCTGGTTATTTCACGCATGTGCAAGAAACGTGTAATGAAATTATCGAGATAACTGATATAGAGAATTCAACATTTGAATCCCGTCGTCGAGATCGAATCAAAGCTGAAGATGATAAATTTGACCCAGATCATTATATGTGAGCGAATTTGTTTTTTATTGCTTGGTAAAATATTCTGTTGGTTCTTACTCTAAAATATGTGATATAGTGCCGATTTTATGGATGTTCAAGAGATAAAGCACCTTATAAAATACAAGGCTAATTGGACGAAGCTACTCAAGCGAATACAAGTTATTAAAAATAACGCGGATGTGAATGATGTTAAAGAAGTAATTCTATTTTAACCTAATATCTGTTAATTCGTTGAAATTTATGCGATGACATATATACACATCATTTACAGAGTTTGCGCGATACTATGGCTGAGTCGAAGTTTGCATCGGTCGCAACAAATGATGAAAATAATAAGGATACTGATATTATTTTGAAATTCACCGAGAAAGAAACCTCGATGATGATGAACTTGCCAAACAAATCATGCAAGTATCTATTATAAATGCAGTTGATTAATTTGAACATCAATTCAATGGAAATCAATAACAATTTCAATTTCTAGACCTTATACAAAACATAGACGCGATATATTTTGGATTAGTTGATCTATTATACGCGTATAGTTACAATCATAGAGTGTATGAAGGCGAAATTACGGTAGAATCTTCGTGGACGATCGGAAAGTTAAGTCCAACCATATCATGTCTTGAGGTCGGTAAGTTTTCAACAATAATACTGATTTTGATACATGCTACATTCTACTTTTTTTTTGATTGTTTTTTCTTTTTTTTAGGAATTTAGTTCTCTCGAAGAAACAATTATTGCATTATTTCGTCGATCATTAGCATATCCGTGGCGTCGAAATTTTGAGTTATCAGAAAAATGCCTTGACGACGTATATGTTCTTCTAAAACTAGGCCGACGAGCGATTTTAAAGGTTTTGTTTGAAATGAAGGATATATTTGATCACCATGATATTTATTACGTGTACTCCAAGATATGGTTGGATGATTATTGTATTTGGTGTCAAACTAAAGCCAAGTATGTTATGCATAAATATGTATCAAGTTTTGAACGTTTGGACACTTTCTAAACTGCTTAATATTTTTAGTGATAAGATTATTCGATTATTAGCACATAATATTCATCATTTCAAGGTGCCAAAATCCAAAATTGGATGGCATTTGGAGGAATATGAACAATTAGCGTTAGAAGACCAATGCGAAAATTAATGATTATATTTGTAAGAGGTATGTAAAAAAAATACATATCGAAGTGAGAAAAATCAAACTTTGAAAAGCGAAATATGTTGATCCAGTTATTCAAGCCAACGATCACTCTCTTAATGCAATCACTTGTTTTTTCAACATAATCAATTCTGGTGCATAAAGTAAGAAGTTATTAATCAAATATATATATATTATTGCGGTTGCAAAATTGTGTGAAACTTGCAGATCAAAATAATAAAAATCGATGATTTCCGATTTCTTAAATATTTTTTTCAGTAATAGAAATTATAGAAGTTGTAGCAGTCAGGGAATATGTCACATATAGTAATATGAGTTTTTTTTATAATAAAAATTATAAAAAAAACATATAAATTTACTATAAACTTTAAGCTCAACATTCTTTTCAACTTACAAATTAACTTATCTTTAAATTTTAGGATTAAGTATATCGAAAATAGAAAAATAAAGTAACTTAGAATGATATTTTAAAATTTTGTAAAAATTTCAGATTTTACTAATAAATTTTTTTTAAAATGAATTTTGCTAATTTTAAAATAGCAATTATATGTAAAATTTTATGCTAAAATAGATTATATTAGTAAAAAAATAAGTTTACTATATATATACAAATGATAAATTTTTTGGTTTTCTATATACAATTTCTTTTTTTACTAAAACAATCTATCTTTATCTTCTAAGTAAATTTGTTTAAGACTAGGTAAGAAGATATACTAGCTAAACCGTTAAGTTGCCAAAACTAAAAAAAAAAAACATATGCTCTGGAAGCATATACCAAAGGGAGGATACTAGTAGGGTATCTAATGCTTGGGGAGACCAACCCTTCTGGGTTGCTAGCTAGAAGTAAAGGAGAGATCAGTTAAGAATCCAAAAAAAAGGAAAGTTTGAATAGAGGTGCTGAGATTGAAGTGAACCTTATAAGAGCATAGCGATTAAATGAAAATAACCCCAACTACGAGTGAAAGCCTTGGCAACTATGATATCAGGTTAGCCAAAATAGGATATAAAAGGCTCTGGTGGGTTTACCTTGAGAATAGACCAAGTTGGTAAGTTCTAAGGCATAACAAAATTCAGATAACCAAGTTAGAAGACTTCACCAGGTGGAATTAGATTATAATCAGAGGGTTTAAATAAATAACCTCTAGTTGGGTTGCAGATATAGCAGCTAGTGTAGAACCTAAGACAGACTACTTAAATAGGCAACCAAAAGTTGTATATGTAACTAGTTATATTCTTGTTTATAAAAAGAACCAAAGAGTTTAAATAAGTAATCTTTTGTTAGATTGTAGGCATGGCGGCTAGTGTAGAACCCAAAATAGATAGACTACTTAAATAAATAACTAAAAGTTGTATGTGTAGCTAGTTGTACCATTGTTGTAACTGAAACTTAACTTCTAATAAAAAGTTATAGCCAAAGAAATTATCTTTAATACTGAAAAAAAAAAGAATATACTTATTATAAGAAGTTCAAATGAGTAAAGTTTAGATTAAAAATTTTAAAAAAAAGTTTATTATAAAAAAGTTAGTACTATATATAATAGTAGTTGTTATAGAAAGCTTTATTATAAATAGTATTAACAACTCTAAAATAGTATTGAGATTTTGTTTGAAAGAATAATTAGGTAGTAACTAGAATTAAAGTAATAAGAAAAATGATAAATATAAAAGAATTTTTATCAATTTTAAAATACTTTTAGTACTATATAAAATTATTTATTAAAAAGAGGCTAAAGAATAAAGGTATATATATATTAAAGATTCAATAAAGCTTTGAGCATATTAATATAAAAGTTTTTAGATATTAAAAGAGCTTAAGATTATCAAAACTAATATAGCTAGTACAAGTATATACAGTATATAACTAGAGGCTACAACTACTAAAAATTACTATAAAAAGAAATAATAATATATCAGTTATAATCTTCTAAGCTTTATAATATTATCCAACTATAAAAAAGCTCTAGAAGTATAAGATAATCTGTTATAAAACATGTCTAAATATTTTATTATTATAAAAAGAAGTATAGCTATTTGTATGATTACTAAATTTGATATATTAAGATTTAGATTTTAAAAATTACAGAAAAGTTAGTAGTTGCAATAGTATGTAGGCTTGAGATACTTATTTAATATAGTAGAGATAGCTTAAGATACTATTACAAAGTAGATTGTAATACAGAGTAATACTAGCATAGCATAGTATAGAAAATATTCTATTATTATATTATTTATTATATTATTATTATCATAGCATTATAGTTATTAATAATTATTATTATTATATATATTATATTATTAGTATTAGATTATTAGTTATAGTTAATTGAGGTGTGGCGACCTAGTATAGTGGTCTGGTTGTCACCCTCTCCAAGTGGCAGGTCTAGAGTTCAAATCCCACAGACGACGAATTTTGAAAAATAGCCTGTGTTACGGTTTACGGTTGTCGATTATCAGTTGGATCTAGAAATCTGTAATCTCGGTCATACCATCT